TATGATTATCTTAAAAAACCTCTCTAGTTTCCATCTTTGCTATCGTTGAGATTCAAATTTCTCAATGTCATCAACGTATATCATCTCCTCAGGTAATTGAGCTGAACTTTCCGAAGACGATTCAGGGACCATGCCACATACCATATGTCCCAAAGTAGGACAAGTTCTGCAAGAACTCCAACGTTCTATATTACTCAAATCATAAGTTCTCAACTCATATGGAAGTATCCGCGAGGGATACTTTTCAATTTACCCCTTTTTTTATGCATCGAGGATCCAATTATGTTGGGAGAAGATTGCAGATGGGAAGTCAACAGTATCAGGGTCATGGTCAGAAAGAAATGGTTCTAAAAGTTTCTTACTCTCTGATGAGAACTCAAACATATATAATCTTTTCATCTGTATCAGCAATGATAGAAGCCTGCAATTGGGAGTCTTCATTTCTGTTATAATTAACTTGGACATCATTCTTTGAAACTTGATCATCAGTGCCTTTGTTTGCCTGCAGTTTTATGGGATGGACTACAATCACGAATAGGAAAAGCACTTCGAACTAACTATTTTGAGATGTTGACAAAATTACCAGTTGTTGTTACAGTTCAGAATTGTATTCAAGTGCCAAAGGTCCTGGTCGAAGGCACCTTCCAGCAATTTCATCCACCAACCACAATTTCACATCATCTTGTAATGACTTTATGGAGAGGTGCTCTTTTATCTGCTATATAAAGAACCCAGTTGTTTAATAGTATCAATCAATAATGATATGCTCTAATAGAGAGAGACCACCCATGATAATGATTATACACATTAAACTGACAACCTGCCTGTTCGCAAGATTTCCACTAATTCTATAGTAGTCATGGCTAATGAAGATAAATAAACAGAGAAATGGTCCAACGAATCATACACTACCACTATGCTTTCATAATTAAAGAGCTACTCCACCTAAAAATCGATAGAAGTTGAGGGAAAAGTTTGTTATTCCAAGGCTGTTAATCTGCAACAGATGTAAAGTTGAGCAAATTGGTTGTCATTAAGAAACGAAGAAAAAGCCCAAGAAACATTTTTTGTTTTGGAACAAAAAATGAATATGCAGATAAGTCACTCCACATATCCGTGAAGGAGCAATACTTCTTAGCACTACACAATTATCTGCATGGGACCCCACCGCACCTATGTCGAGGCCAAAGTTAAGATCCCACTGTGTGCTCTAGGTACTGAAGAGTAGGTTTAATCCCAATGAGCTGTCATAGCTATAGTGACTCAAACCCAAACATTGAGCGAGAAAATCTGAGTTTTTACCCGCCGGGCCAACAACTTGTTGGTAGAAACATTCTCAATCATTGGGAATACTGGGAATATTGGAAATTCTGGTGTTAACCCACTCCATAGAAAACTCCATTCCTGCTAGAATATTATGGGGCTGAACTCCCCTAATAAACAGGAACAAATTGGAAAGTTGATTGGAGATCAACAACTGGATATCATGGGCATTGTAGAGACTAAGGTCAAGAGTATCAACAAGGATGAGATCAACAGGTCCATTTTCAGACAATGGGAATACTAGACAACTACTATAGCCATTATTTGGGTAAAATTTGGTTTAGTTGGAACTCATAAGTAATTAGAGTTTCTTAGGTGGAGTAGACAAACCAAATCATTCATTGTTTTCTTATCCATCTAGAGACTTAAACTGACTTCTTTCTTTCCTTTGTATACGCTTCCAGTGATGAAGATGAGAGGAAATTACTTTGGGGAAACATTCTGCACCATTCTGCCTTTTGTAGCCAATAGACCATGGGAATTCTGGGGGATTTCAACGCTGTAAGAAATTTCTAGGAAATATTCGGGGGTTTTGAGAAATGGAACCAGGGCATGACTGATTTCAACAGCTACATACAGGGAGTTAAGTTAATAGACCTCAAATATTCTGGCATTTTTTTCACATGGTGGAATAAAAGGGATGATTCTGGGAGCATAGTGAGAAAGATTAATAGGGTCCTTGTCAATGAAGCATGGAATCTGTAGTTTGGACTATCTTGTGTAGAATTTCTAACATATTGTGTTTCTGATCGTAGCCCAATGGTAGTTAAGATTGGGGGCAAAAAAGAGAGAGAATGTCCCTTTAAATTTTTTAAATACATTGCCACCAAGGAACACTTTTTGGATGCAGTTATCAAAGTATGGGAGCAATTATTAGAAGTACCATGCAATACGAAGTGGTGGTTAAACTCACGTTAATGAAGCAAGAATTTAAAAAGATAAACTCTTACCAGATCGAGGATATTACTTTGAAAGCAAGGTAACCAAGGAAGAGTTGAACCAGTGTTATCGGATTGGACATCAAATCGGCAGAGAGATTGGGTCAATGGTTCACTGGTTCAACTGATTGAACTGGTCGTATAATAAAAAAAATAAAAAAATTATAAAACAGTAATTTAACTAAAAAAATAATATGTTCATAAAATCCAATGAATAAAGAACATAAACAAAAAAATTACTATTATCTCAGAACAAATCAATTCATAATTATACATTTCACAAATAAAGTAAAGCAACAAACGAAAAGAAAAATATGAAAATAATGAAGGAAGAAATGCCTCTCGACTTCATTAAAAATAAGAGTGTGTGTGAGAGAGAGAAAGAAAGAGAATAGTAAAGGACAATCAATGTCGGCTAATGAGATAGAAAGGAGAGAGCTTTTCTTTGAAGAATGTGAAAGGACCATTTGTCTTACTCATATTTCATGACTAACACTCACAGACGAGTGCATCTGCATCAGAGAGAGAGAGAGAGAAAGAGGACTTAACAAAGAGAAATGAAAGATGTCGTTGTCGTTTGGAGAAGAAAAGAACTTCGTTACAAGATTTCTGATCTTGCCTCGCCTGGATCTCGTCATCGTTGCCTGCTGAGAGAAGGAAGGCTAGAACTGCTGCCTGTTCATCTCATGAGAAGGAAGGCTTGAGGGCTTGAATTTTGAATGCTGAAGTAGAGAGCCAAGAGGGTGAGACCCCAACATTCCAATTTTCAGAACCTATCCGATTCACCAGTTTTCATAAAAAATCGGCCGGTTAACGATTGAAAGACGGTTCCCATGTGTATGCGGTCCAACTCAAGAACCAGACCGTTCTAGGTCTCGGTTCATAGTCCAACCGATCCGGTTCGGTTCTGATAATGTTGAGTGAATCAAGTGTAGGGGCAGATTTGACCAGCAGCCTACGAACAGTGTCCTAAGGGCTCAAGGGAAGAATCTATTACAAAAGTATGTAGAAGCAGCTAAAGTTGAAGAAGAGTTCTTGAGGCTAATATCAAGAATCCAATGACTTAAAGAGGGTGACCAAAATTCTAGCTTCTTCTTTTAGACACTGACTGTACAGAGAAATATAAACAAAATTCCAGCAGTCACAAGACAAGATGGTTTGATTGCTAAAAATCCTGAGGAGGTAAAGCAAATTGTGGTGAATAATTACCAGAACCTGTCGGGGAGTAGAGTACATTGTATTTTGAACAATGATCAAGAAGTTAGAAGGTTGAAGTGCTACAAGACAACTAATGTACAAGTTGCAAGCATGGTGAGGGGGATTACAGAGAATGAAATAAAAAAAGTAGTCTTCCCAATCCACCCTAATAAGGCTCCAGGTTTAGATGGATACAACGACTTCTTTAGAAAAGCATGGACCATCATTGGCAGGGATGTCACTCTAGCAGTCTAAGAATTCTTCAACTCTGGATACTTATTAAGGGAGATCAATCATACCATTAAAGGGTTTTAGGAACCAAAGCAATTTTCATACATTTTATAAGATTATATCCGAAATTATTGCAAATAGGATAAAAGTCACGCCCCCTAAGAACACGAGCACCAATCAAATAGCTTTTGTGCAAGATAGAAGAATAGGGGATAATGTCCTGCTCGCTCAAGAATTGCCAAGAGACTACTATAAGAATAGAGAGACATGTAAATGTGTTATCAAGGTTGATCTAATGAAGGCATTTGACACACTCTAGTTATAAAGGAAGACACAAAAATATCGTTTATAAGTGTAAGCACACACACACACACTGAATATACATATTACATAGAGTAATATATATAGGAATGACCAAATAATGGCCCCAATAATGGATGCAAAATTCCTATATAAAATTTATTAAAATGCAAAAGTAAAATCTAACTAATTAACATAAAAACACGTATCATCTGGAGTTTAACAAAACTGACAGCACTGCATCCGAAAATATCTATGATTTATTATTAATTTATGAATTTTTTTTAAAATAATAAAAATGAAGTTTTAAAATAGACGATGGAATTCAACCCAAAATTGAAGGAGCTCATGGCGAAGTGATGAGTTTCGATCTTGGCCCAATCCAAATTAGATACCACTGATTCCATTAAATTCTAAGCTTGACTCATTTTGTATCTACTATTATTTTTTGGACGTGACGATCTATTTACTCCAAATAATTAACTGTCAACTGTTTTACATCAAATAATTAAAATTTTATTAATTGACTTCCCTTATAGAGAGATTAAGAACTCGGAACTTGTCACCAAATAGGAATTTAAACTTCTAGGATTTTATTTAGTAGTGAATATAAAGATTTTAAGACATTTTATTGAGAAATTAATTATTTAAAAAACAAAATATTAAGCTTTAATGCTTCAAAACTTCTGGTGAGAAATAGAATACGAATTTTAGTTCGAGTTTGACTTGACAAATTAGGATGAATGATCTCTGAAGAGTCCTCTGTGTCAAAAAAAAAAAACTTAAAGCAAACAATTGAACTATATTACATGCCTAGCAATAGCATACTGCGGGGAAGATCTGATTTGTTATCTCAAATAAGAAGGAAACAAAATCATATACAGATGCCTTCCCGCTTCATCCCAGCAGGTCTCACGAAACAAATTGAGAACAGGGAAGAAGAGAGATTCAGAAGCATTAAGACTTTTCTCTTTGAACTCAAAATGAAACATCGTTCAGGAAAAAAAAAACTCAAAATGAAACAGCCACTTTATAGTCACTAGATATAATCCCAGGTTTCTTGTTAGGCGACAAACTATCAAGAACCAACGAGCAATTCACAAAAACCACGAACTGCCTCATCGGAATGGTCCCGACAACGATGCTCACCGGCACTCTCACCTTCACCAGCAACGGAATCCTCCCACTCTGTCGATTTTCCAATAGAGCCTGTTGAAGACCTGACCCAAACTCACTCTTCCCTTTCAATGAAACTTTCATCGTAGTTATGTTTTCATGTCCTTGATGGAAAGCTGGTAGCTGCCCAGAACAAAGGTTTGAGTCGGTGTAGAACACAGTTACATTGCTTTGGCTGCCATATATGAATCCTATGTGTCCGTTCGGGTTCTCGGCTTTTACGGCCACCAGAAACTCAGTGTTGAGGCTGAAATCAGGCTGAACGGCGAAGGATTTCACGTCCAGGCCTTCGACTTTGTATGAAGGCATTTGGGGCTTGAACACAGTGTAGAAATAGAGGGCAAGACCTGCTAGAATCAAGATCAACAGGAAGAGGAAGCAATAACAGCAGCATATGCATTTAAGACAACATCCTCCACCTTCCTTTTGATTGCGGGAATGGTACTGGGGAATGTTGCGGCGATAGGGCGGAGGACGGACGCTTCCATGGTGACTTCCGTGATTTTCCGATAGCATGACATAGGGAGGTGGTGGTGGATGCATTTTTCGGAAATGATGAATCAATTGCAGGGAAAGAGTGGAGGGTTTGGTGGGCATATTCCATTAGAGATGGAGAACCACTAGAGGAGGAAGAAGAAAGAGAGGCTCTTCTTCTTCCTCTCTGCCGAAATGTGGACCAGAGAAGACTAAGAGAGAGAGAGAGAGAGAGGATGGTTCAGAAATGGCTCCACTGCTTAAGGGCATTCTTACATATGTATGGTAAATTAAAGATCCACATGCAATGGAACACTGGCTAAATTGGCCTCTTAGGTAATAAAAGAAAATGTTGTTTGGACTTATATATTTTCCCGACTTAATATATTACAATCATTGGTAGCAAGTTTCAATTAATATTGAGGGTTCATTAAATTGAGATGCACAATTTTTTTTTTCGTTATAGAGTGTTTAGGTTTGCGCTAATTACTCATTTGAACTCAACAACCGGTCATTATGATTTGAGTTGAATTATATCATATCCTTAAAGGGACAAATGTTCTCGAAAAAGAGATAGGGTGTGGATACCCCTATTTATTAACTCCAACATCATAACTCAACCAGAATAATTAACCAACTCGTTACCAATAACATTAATTTAAAAACTATCAATTACATAGCACAATGTTACATCATAATTAGGGCACTATACCCTTAAAATGTCTCTCCAACCATGCTAAACTGTTTAGTGGACCACCGCCTAAAAAAAAAACCTGCACCTGAAGTAAGCAACTGTTGTGGAGTGAGTAAACCACACACTTAGTATGTATATTTAAGACATATAAAAAGAAAATATATATTTACAGCTGAAATACAAACATATCCCACACAATCAATACAAATCGAATTCAACTTTCCAAAACTTAATAATTCACACCCAAAATGTTTTACCACCCATTAAATTACACTCAAATGCATATTCAACATAAAATACAGCCCCAAAGATTATTATTCAAAATATTTACCTAACTCCCCATAGTTCTATAACTATAATTAAATCCCCAAAATAATTATCACTATTTATAAATTAGACTCCAACATTTATAAAATATTATGTATTTACAATTTTAGGTTTTACATGTGGAAAGAGATTGAATCTAAAATATCTGGATTACCAAAGATTAGACTCAACCACTAAACTACCTCTAAAGGATCATGAGATACGCAAATTAAGTCTAAGTAATATTGCTCGATTATAAATTTATGTTACATTTGTTTATGAATTCAACTAAATTACAACTTGCAATGTAGGCATTTGACAGTTGGGGTTGCTACTCAGGCCGTTTTGTCTTTATTAGCTCAAAACTTGTTTTTTATAGAACTAGTTGATGCACACGTGCGTTGCACGTGAACTATTGTGAGTATAAGTAATTATTTATAATTGATTTAATAATTAAGAAATATATTTTTAATCAAAAGTTTGGAACATACCAAGAAATATGAAATTGCAATATTACTGGATTATTAGGAAATAATTCATCTCACCCTTGCCTTCCTTCTTCCTTGTCCCTATTGTTTTATAGGAAGCAAGGTGAAAAACTGAATAAAGCTAATAGGAGATGATGTCTTGTTGTATTTAATGATCAATCCTCCATGGCTTATAATTGAAGGATAATCCCTCATAAAATGATATGATTTAGCCTTTTTTAGATAATTGCCAATGTGTTTACACATAAAAGATGATCACAATTATATTATATATACTTTTGCCTGATGTACTCCTCAAAAAAGAACTTATTGTCTGATGTATTCCTCAAAAAAGAACTTATGACTCTAAAATAACATCTATATGTCGCAAAAATGTTAGTAAATTATAACAAGATTTAGCATTAGATTTTCAAAAAATTTAGCATCATATTTTTGTATTGAAAAAATGTTGAAGATGGTGTAAAAGTGGCCTAGGAATATCCAAATGAAATGTTTCTGGGGTTTTACTATACTAAGCTTTTATATCTATGTGATGCCATATTGTTAATGTTTTTTTTTATGTTATGTTTTTTTTTTTAGAATTAGATTTTATAGACCACAAATCACAAACATGCACTTATGTTATACCGCCTCTAATAACTTTAACTTTTGCCAACATTTGGTGATGAATATGGTATTCAAGCCTAGAGCTCTAACGTTCAAATCACAAAGAGAGGTCACACGTGAGATGAAATATTATATAGACACTTATGTTACAATATTCTCTAATAGGTTAAGCTTTTAGAATAGCTTATAGTCTAATAATAGAAGTGGAGAGCTCAGCTCAAAACTTATATAATGAGAGAGAGAGAGAGAGAGAGAGAGTACATTGTAAAGATTCTGATTTCAAGCTATAGTAACACGTCAAATATTAACGTGATCATCAATGACCGTAAATCGGTTTATTTCTTCTTATGAATCTTAAAAGTAGTATGAGCATAGTCAATATAACAAATGCCTTGACTCAATTGACAACCTCTTAAACTTTGTCAACATCTAGAGTCCTAATTGTTGAAAAATATTAGAGGGACATCGAAAAAAATGTAAAACTTGATGTTGGACTACCCACTATGAGTTGATTTAGTTTTTTCTCAGCATTAAGTTACAAATATGCACTTCATTTTTTCTCTATTGTACATGTTGCTAAAATGCCTATAAGAAAAAGATAGTAAGGGTTGGTCTATATAAGAATTGTGAGTTTAAAAAAATTTCCTATAAAATTGGTAGTTTCTTATAGTACACTTCATAAGTAAGTACATTTTTCTCATGATGTATCTAAGCCAACAAAATTTTTCCAAGTAATGTTCTTGCATAATTTTTACTGACCAAAGTCTTAGCCTTGACAAAAAATACGATATCATTGAAAGATAGAAAGAACCGCAACAACAATGGACAAGAGATCCTCCTAGATATAAACAGTAAAATAGTAAACACTAAATATCCTCACTATCTATGATATTGGCTTGCAAATCTACATCCAATTGAAAATGATACAGTGTTGTCTTATGCATAAAAATTTTACACTCTCTATTTGCTTGAACATTGTATAACATGTAAGATTATGTAAAAGTATCAAGTCATCTATAATGATTTGATCATATAATAATTGGTTATGTCAAGCCACCAATTGCTACGATTGTATGACTTTCGAAAATATTTGTATGCAACAAAGGATGATCAGAATCTTCCACGTAGCCAATTTGATTAAAACACCTCCTTTGCTTGAAAGTGGTGCAAATATCACTTTTACCATTTAATTGAAATAAATTCTCGTAATAGCACACTTCAAATAAACTCATGATTAAATTAATTTTTATAATGACAATCTCACAATATAGTAAAAAGCTTGAACATAAATCAACAAATTAAAACTTACTCAAACAGTAAGTTGGATAGAGTTAGAGAAAGAGTGGATGCACTTCTTTAAAAAAAATGTACTCAAAAAAAGCTTTGTTTTATAGACGACAATCATTCCTAAAATATATTTCTGTTGTGTAACTACATTTTCCAACATAGGGTTCATCATGCATGACATTGTCTTCTCAACACGCAAATGTAGAGCTAATGAAGTTGTGTCTCCTAGCTAAAATGAGCTTATGACGACATCCCAGGAAAACTCAATTGAGTTGGCTGAGTTTCACGTGTCATCAATAAATATAGACAATAAATCTTCAATCTTTATAATCTACTCTATCTTTCATTCTTAATCGTATGATTTTAATTATAGGTATCCATTGGCATTTCAACAAACAATTCCCCATCAAAGCACATAATTCACTTGCATCAAATTACCACAATCCCTAAAATTTAAATTACCTTATTTTCTAAACAAAATTATAATTTGCTTCTACCTAAATAAACTTGATATGACGATTATCCAATTGAGTAAGAGAACATTAGAATTAGAGTTCAAAAAATAGTTGAAAAGATCTAGAAGGGAAAGAAATTGAAAAGATCTAGAAAGAGAAAGAAATTGAAAAGACATAGAAACCATTGAACCCAAAGGAGCCAAAATCATTGCATGTATACAAGAAGTAAAACCTAGAAAAAGAAAGCATAGATAAATCCTAATAAATTGGTACCATCGATAGAATATCAATATAATCAATTGATAAACATTAAAAAATAGTACCATGCAACCATGAATAATAATAATAATAATAACAAAAAGACAACATAAAGGAATACAATGCAAAAAAAAAATTATAGGGAAAAAGCATGAGAACTATGTCATAGAACCAAAAAAGTGATAACAACCGTACTTTGAGAATTAGCGACTTCTGATCAAATGCATCGACAATGGATGATCAAGGTCTACCGTCCACATAAGAACATGTCTGAGGCTCTTCTTGAAGGTGAGTAAACTATCGATTCGAGTTTCTTCTACTTCGCAAACACCGTTACTATACAAAGAGAGAGAAAATTGGTAGTTGATCAGCCCAAAAAAATATAGATTGATAAAGAGAAGGGATGGAGAAAGACGTGATACTAATTAACCCAATGTAATGCTAATTAACCCAATTTAAGTGATTAACAATCACTTAACGTTGAAAGAAGATGAAAGCAGATGAAGGGACATCAAGGATTTAATTGACTTTAGAGGAATAAACAAGAGTAAAATCAGAAATTTATGCGAGAGGGGGAAGAGTAGACTGATTTAAGTGAGTCTCTTGAACTATATTTATTGATTGGAAGGGTTTTGAGGTAATTAAATTATATCGTAGAGATATTGTGGTCAATCAAAAATTTTTCCATTTTATATACATTTTATAGGTAGATGTTAATCGAGCTAGCATAAGCACTGCTTGCCGTAAGTGGTGTACTTCTTTAGGTTCAATTTTGGTATGCTGCCCAACTTTTTAGCCCAAACTTAGGCTTTTCAAACGAGCTGGGTCCATCACAACCTTTTTTTTTTTTTTAATGTCAGTTAACTTACGCGCATATCGACTAATTTTCTCTTCAGTCTGATCAAAGTTAGATCATCTATATTAGGATTAGAGTATTCATTACGGATAAATCTTTCATGACCTAGTTTCAAGGTATTGTCAATATTCGAACTCAAAACGTCTGAATTTACAGTTCATCTTTGTTATCACTTAAAGTACCCTTAAGATTGGCTCCATCACTAGCGATAAATAAGAGGATAAGGATATTGAATAGTTAAGCTTTAATCATATCATTTAGAAAAAAAAATAATAATTTGTTATTTAAACTTAATTTATTGATCTAATTCATCATAATTATTAAATTGATAACGAATCTCAATTAATATGGTCTATTGTCAATTTAATGACAGAGAGTAACTAGATCAATGTATAAAGTCAACAAATTAAATCAAATAACATTGTTCTTTAGAAAGTTAAAGTTGAGTTGAAAATTTGAACAGCATAGTTTAACTAATTACTCCTTTAGAATTAGTTCATTACTTTTGGTTGGTTTACGACTGATCAAGAATGAGTGAAGCCTGACCATGGAGTTATTTGAAGTTTGATTTGTCACAAAATTATGAATATAAATATTGGAAATTAAACCCTAATACATAATAATAAATTTGCTACACCAAAACATGTGTGATCAACGAGAAAATCAAACCAAAGAAGTTTAATTTTTTTCATAAGTTCATCAAAGAAAACATTGAGAGAAGTGTATGCAATTTGAAACTATTTGGTGATACGTTTTAAGATTAAGTCATCTTCCGAGTAAGAGTTGCTTGACAATAAAATTTTGGAGTAATTCATCTTTTGGAAAATTGTTTGATAATAAAATTGAAATTATTTGTAGATAGAAGGATATATGAATAGAGTTAAACTTATTCAAGTTTTGTATCTAATGCATACCACTGGACACTGACCGGAAAAATTCTCGAATTTTTACAAAGAAATGGAAGAGTAGGGTGAGGTTGGTCTACAAGGCCTGAGGTGTAGAGGGAGCAATAAAACATTAATGGCAGTCACATTAGACCCCGCCGGTACCTCAATTTATTACCCTGGCTGGCTTAAGCTTTTAACGTACAGAAAGATTCATCATGAATTGCATTTATGGCAACTCTTTTGTATCCTTTTATCTTGGGTCAGAAACTCACGTAAAAGAAGACACTTTAATTCCGTAAATTCTTCGTTAATCACTTTTCAATGAAGCCACAAAAATGTGAATAAAATCAATCCGCCATTGCTCAAGGAGCTCAAGCCCTGTGATCTCTCTTCTTCTCCACCCTCTTTCATGTGACCTTTCTGTATCTCTCTCCTTGAGTCCGTGCAATTGCCTGTGACTTGCTTCAATACCACCTTATTTTGGTAACCTCTATATATATTTGTCTATGCCTCCTGTTTCTTTCACCAAAGTTTGGCTTCTTCTCTAACAAATTAACAGTCTTGCACACCAAACTCAAAGGCAAAAAGCAGAAAGAAAAAGTTCGCGTCATGAAGGGTTTTCTTCGAACTGCCATTTTTCTAGCCATTTTTTCCCTACCGGTGGTCTTGTCTGCCAGGGACATTGGCCGCCAACCATCATGTACATCTCTCTCTCTCTCTCTGTGCATGCATAAACACAGCCCCATGGCAACTTTTCTTTTCTTTTTGGGTATTTTTTCAAGTAAAAAGTCAAAATCCAGCATAAAATATATTTTGAATTGCATAAATGTAATAAAAAAGTTCCAACTTGTTTCCCAATTTTCTTGGACTTTATTGAAATTACTATTGCAATTAATTATAGTTGTCTTATTTATACGTGTTGTTCGTCCAAAATCTAACTAGCGTGTGAATTTAGAAGATGAACACTGTTCTTCAAATATTGCATTAAACTATGGTCATTATCAAGATATCAAAATAACTTATAAAGGTGTAATATGTTATGTTTAACAGATCATGGCAATCACCATCAGACACTGCCAAGCAAAAAGGATGTGGCGATGATGGTGAAACCTAACTTGGAGAGAAGAAGAGCAATGAAGCATAAGGGACCCGATACACTCCAAATTGCCGGGTCAAGCTTACCCGATTGTTCTCATGCCTGTGGATCATGCACACCATGTCGACTTGTCATGGTTAGCTTCGTTTGTGCGTCGCTTGAAGAGGCTGAGACATGTCCTATGGCTTACAAATGCATGTGCAATAACAAGTCTTATCCAGTTCCATGAACAGAGATTCAAATGGTTTTTGAATCAAATTTGTTGCATATATAGCTGTCTTTCATCGTTCTTTCTTTGCCTTTTTCCGCTGCTCAAATTTTTTTTGTTTGATGTAGACATCCTTCCCATGTGTAACCAAAGAGTTTACAAGTTCTTTGATTCTTATGAATGAGAGTTAGCATATCAAATGGAATCTTGTTATGTCTTGTTTGTATTATGTCATTTCAAGTTTGTGACAAGCATTAAGCAACCCTAATCCTATCCAATTAAATAATAATGTGTTGACACTAACTCGAGAGGTTTATTTATTAGGTCATGGTCGGGTTGGTTTGTAAAATCCCATGTAACTTTTATATTTCGTTACTTTTATAAAGTTTTGTTGAATTGAGTTGTATTAGTGGATGTCTCTCACTTCTCACCCAACTCAGCCTAGTGTAAAAATCGTTGATTTTGGCTTGTTTAACGGTATAAACCCATATGTGTGTTCCTTACATTAAGTTTTTCTAAAAAAGCAAAGGAATAGAACACAATTTTTTTTTTTAAATAGAAAAAAAAAAAAAAAACACTTTTCTTATTTCATTCGGTAAGGATGTCCATGGGTCTGTCCTAGACGTTTCAGGGCTTGTGCTAAAAATATTGGTCCATATGTCAATGATAGAGATTAACCGCAGACCGCACCCACAATATACACAAAACATTAGACAAAAAATGTGGTTAGTTTAGCTACATCTAAACAGTGATTTTGTAAACTCTATTTCAGTGCCTGACTCTGACTTTTGATAATTTAGAAGTGTCAAGTTTAATCTATTCTCACATCTCCTAAGAACCAATCATCATTGTCATTTTTAGTGATATATTCTAACTTAACTCAAATTTCAGTGGCTAGCCGTTGAGTTTGCAAAAATAGTCGGTGCAAACCTGAATGCCCTACAGCAAAACAAAATAGACTATTTTCTATTGTGAAAAAAAAAAAAAGAACCTAGACCTCGATAGCTTGGGTCGGGCCTGTGCCAAGCCCTTTATATACAATATGGGCTTGTTTGAATGAATTTTGGAGAAGGGTTTGGATTGACTCCTTTAAACCCTTTCAAAATTAAACCCCTATTTACAAATATGAGATTCAACATTCAATCCGATCAATACTCATATTTAGTAAGCAACACATATACATGTAGGACCCACATATATATCTTAATTATTAACAACTATTTATCCCGTAAATGACTATTTTACCTTTGATTAATCTAATTCATACTCATGTTAAGGGGTACAATTGTCTTTTAGATCTTTAACCCCTTACACATCTTCTCAAACCCACCCCTTTCCTAGGTTTGATGAAACCTATGATCATAAGTTTAATCTTCGGGCCAGCTACGGGCTGAGTTTTGAAAACTCGGGACTGAATTTTTCATACAAACATGAAATTTAAGGGTCCTTTAGACTATTTTCCCCAAACTTATCTTATCAAACCCCCCCTATACCCCCTTTCCAAACAGCCCCAATATGGCTTGGCCAGTCCCGAGGCAGGACTTGTAGTTCAGACCCTAAGGCTGTTACTCTATGGATGAACATAGCCTAAGCCTAATTTAACCAAATGGGCACCTACCACTTAGCTTATGTTGGTACTCACTCTTTGTTAACTCTACAATATTGCATAGTAATTTTTAGCACCATACAAATTCTGTCCATCTCTATATGTGAAACAAAAAAAATTATTTGGCAGATGCCTTCCGAAGCTTTCCAACCAAAAATACTCAATTCTAAGGTTTTAAATTGTTTTAATTAAAAGAACATGAAATTCATCCAATCAACATGCACTATTTCAAAAAGTCCTGATTTTTAAATCAACAAAAAATGTACTTGGCTTCTTACGACTGTTTCTGCAATTTACTTTTCTAAATAAAAAACTAACACTTTATCTTGTAACTAGGTTTTTAAAATACGACAAGATTAACTAACACGAATCGATATAAAATTAAGTGAGTTTAGGTGAGGTCTTATCAAATTCGGGTGTGTTAGATTATGTATTGTAATTGATTAATTTCGTGAAATCTATATAAATCTCAATCTATTTCATGGTCATGATGTTACAACAACAAAGATTCGAAAGTGTCAAACATAAGGGATGAGATTATGCTTCAAACTATATCAAAAGAACTTTCTATATGCAACTTCTTGCTTAGGACAAAAGTAATGGTCATAGAAGTCTAAGAACCCCTGGTTTAATTTATTAGACTCAGGATGATTAGTGTTAAAATGGAATCCATGTATGACTCTTAAATGATTTTCAAAGAAATGTTTTTCTAACCTTTGTGTTTTGAAAATACAGTTTGAGTCATTATCATCCCTCTTGAGCCATTATCATTTTCTAAACCTTTAGTGTTCAAGAATACTAATTTTTTGCTTGGTTTTAAACTTAAAAAACTAGTAAGGATCGTCTTATGTTCGTTAGCCTTTGCTAAAGCGGTCTCTAAAGATTTATTAATAAAATTAAAAAAAAAGCTAAGTTTGTGGTAGAAAGGATCGCCCTCTAGGTTGTTCTTAGGCTGCTCGAGTTGTCTCTGCTCTACAGTTCTAGTTTGATTTTAAATTTCATTTCAATGACCCTTGTCCTTTAACCACCCTCTAATTTTGGGGTCCTATATTTTCTTGGACTTCAAGACAATCCTTATTTTGAGCCTATAAAGAGAGGGAGTCTTCCCAAGCTATGGTAATCTCTTTTGTGACCTTATTTTTGCCTCTAAACCTAAAGAGATCTCAACACAATCCTCGATTCCTAAAATTCAAAGGCTACCATCTTAACTCCTGTCTAATCTCACACCTTGGAGAAGAACAAGTTGGTTGGTTAAACCAAACCCAATGGAAGTGTTAAGTAGTGAGGATCTTAACGAAAAGATAGCTTCAGGCGTAAATGATTTGTGCAGTGGGGGATTTCAAGAAAAGGAGTGTTCAACCATGGTATTGGTTGAGGTATAAGTCTCGAACACTTATAAACTAACTTTGAGATAATAAATTAAGCTTTGGTGAACCCTAGAGAGGTTCCTCGCAATTTTTTCTTAGGAGGGGTTTTACATCAACAAATTATTTGTATTCTTTATTGTTTTCACATATACACTTACAATTTGAGCACACACGGGCACTGTGTTTAATAAATTGATTTATTGAATATTTACATCATGCATAGTTCCTTGTTTGGGTTTGTTGCCATTGATTTGGGATCGCCGTGAGAGATTAAGTGTTGAGCATTAAAATTAAAAAAATCAATACATCAATGTTCATGAGTTTAAAGGGTCATGGTGTTTGTTAAGAATAATTTTAATTAATCTATTCATCCCCCTCTAAGTAGTGTCTAGAAACTCATGTGTTTAATCATGATGAAAGATCTATATAATCTCCCCCGCAACAATTGGTATGAAAGCATGGTTCACCAAAGTTGCATTAGGCAATTGTAGATATATCTTGTTTTTGCTTGCATACCTAGTTGTTGCTTCCAAGAGATCTATTGTTACTATTAGTTAGTTTTTAATGGATTCTCAAAAGAAAAGATGATCAATTACATGACCAACTCTCTTTTTGACGGTTCTAACTGCGCGTATTAGAAAGCTCGAATGAGAGTGTTTCTAAAATCGCTTGATGAGAAAGTATGGGTCATTTTGTGTGGAAGAGAGTTGGACCCCTCCTACCATCACCATTTTGGTTGAAGATGGTGAAGCGGATGTTGAAGTAAAATCCCCTTAGTCATGGACTAAAGCTAAAATTAAATTGGCAAGGTGGAACTCGAAAGATTTGAATGCAACGTAACACCAAACAAGTTCTGAAGGATAGCTAATTATGAAACCTCCAAGGAGGCATGGGGCATTCTTAATGTATCCGACGACGGGAATTCCATGGCCAAGATGTATCGTCTCTAAAGGTACACCTCACAATTTGAAGTGTTAATGTAAGAGAAATAAACCTTTAATGAATTTTATGCTATATTGTGTGATATTGTTAACTTTTTCTTTGCATTAGGTATCAAGTCTAATGTTGCTGCAATTACAAGAAAAATCTTGAGATCTTTATTGGAGTGGTTTCATGCTAAAGTGACCTCATTAGATACGAGCGTCAACAAGCATCGGTGTAGATGGAAGACCTAGTAGGGCTGATTTTGATTTTTGGGATGAACCTCCTACTACCCAAGAAAGTGAAGGGTGTGGTACGTGCTTAACGAGAGAAGAGGGAGGTAAATTTGAGTCAGCCCAATTGGGAGAAGAAGACATAGCCTATCTTACAAGAAATTTTAAAAGATATTTTAAGGTTAATGGTGTCAAGTCCTCGAGATCAAAGGGAAAGTTGAGTAGACCTAAATCTTCTAAGAAAGGAAAAGAGAAATGGGACAAAAATTCTGAACAAGAAGTTGAGAAGAAGGGGCAAAGAATCCAATTCTACGAAAGTCAATGATTTGGACATGTGGTTGCAGAATGTCCTAGTGCAAAGAAGAAAGACAAGCCCAAAGGAAAGGAGAAGAGTCGTGAAGGCTAGGTGGTAAGTAAAAGTGAGTCTACTTTGAGTGAGGAGGACTCCTCTTCTCAAGAGGATGAAGAAAATTTCACAGCCTTCGTTGGCTTCCATTCCCCCCCTCCCCCCAAAAAAAAAAAAAACTTCGAGTGGTGAAGTTGAGTCAAGTCCTACCGCAGAGATAGATGATTTGGTTGTTGAAGTCTTTACTAGTAAGGATAAAATTGAGAATATTGAGGACCTCCAAGATGCATATAATCAATTATATGATGCTGTGAAAATATCAAGTTAAAAATGCTACAAACATAAAATAAACAAGGTAAAAAACTTATCGATAGAGGCGTGTAGTCACTATTTGTAAGAATATATTTCCGCCCCTCTAAGTACAAAATTTGATGCAATAGGTTATGACGTCTTACCCTCAAGAATTCAACTATCGCTTCTCCACAAGCATGAACTCGCAAATGTAGAGGTATCTCGAATAACTCTTGATTGTTCGCAAATCAAATAAATGGAAAAAGATAGTATTCTTTGTTCTGAAAGCAAAGATATCAAATTGAATAAATTCTTTCCAAAATCCACTGTTCAAACTCTAGTTCGTCCTTTGTATACTTTCCTCTGTTTTTCTTTTCCACTCATTTTTTTTTGTTTTTTCCAAAGTATAATCTGGCATCACTTTAAAT